TCTGTGTAAGTTTRAAATCGTTCTATTGTCTTCATTATGTCATCCCCCCTTTCCACTATACCTCTATTACTTTAAAAAAGTGAACTATCTCCAAGGTCATTTATGTATATTTGTTGATRTGCCCTTTTATATTGTATGTTCTTATTCATTTTCATATTCTTGTATCCAGTACATGGTAGATAATCCCTATTCAGCAAAAATTTGTGAGAATTGAATCTGCAGACCTACGTCTATGAAACAATGGCAAACAAAAACAATTATTTAGTAAATTTATCTTACTAGAAAAGTAAGATAAATTTRTACATAAGGACAAGATTGTAATAATGAAGAGTTGGAGATCTGAAATGTAGTAAATAGAAATATGAGAGGTAATGTTAATGTTGTGTAGTAACTAAGAACATGGACTCGGGGGCGAGAGTGGAYTAAGTTTATATTCTGATTTCACTGCCTACTAACTGTATGACTTGACTTCACTGTCTGTACTTGTTTTCTTATCTGAGGTGAGTCAGTCACCTACCTCATAGGGTTATTTTGAGTATGAAATAAGTTTGTAGGCATAAAGGACTAAGCACCAGTTCTGGCCTATAAAAAGCACTTTACAAATGTTTGATCTTATTGTTCCTAAAATGAAACTATGCATTCATCCACTATTTTGACTCACTCTAAATTCCTTGCTGAAGAGGATTAATAAAATGGTCAAACTAGCGATGGTCTCTGCTTTGTGCCTACAGACTAATAAATCTTAATGGCTTGGGAGGCTGGCATCAAATGATGCCAGCCTCAGCAGTTTAGTGAGACCCTGTCTCAAAAACAGGAAAGGAAAATACGTATGGCAAAAATTGTACTTAGATAAAAAGCAATTAACAAAAATGCCAGATACATAATAGAAGAAACAGGCATAGCAGCATTGCATGTGAAAAAGACTAAAAAGTTAGAGTTAGTATAGCTCAACAATGAAATAAATTCCAAAACTATTTGATTTTGAGCTTTAGTAATATAATAGTTGAAGAAGGGAAGTAAGAATTTATTCTGTGTTGATTATGTAGAATTCAGACTTAGTCATATAAGCAAACTGGCACAACTTCATAAAAGAGCAACTATCCTGGTGAAAGATTTTTTATATGGAGACTGGCTGAAGATACAAGAAAAGGAGAACTGAGAATCATGATATCTATAGCAGTTAGGATGTTTTTTAGTCATAAGTAAAAAGAAGAAAAATTAACTGTTTTCAATACCAAAAGTAATTTTCAACTCATWTAATTCAGTTCAGAGGCAAGTTGGGGTTTAGATGAGACTCAACCCAATGCCCTTGTTAATCTGCTGACCTAGTAGCAATAATCAGCACTTTGTACTTCTTTTATATTAGTGGGATTCAGAAAAACTTTTCTTTTCAGTAGTTCAATGGAAGAAAGAGGAATGGTCTTTCCCCAAATCTCTAGGAAATATCTCTTTTATCTCTTTGGCCAGAATTGTGACACATGCCATCCTCTGAACAGAATATAATGGCAGCTAATCAAAACCCTATTTCTCTCTCTCTCTCTCTCTCTCTCTCTCTCTCTCTCTCTTTTTAGTACCAGGGATTGAACTCAAGGGCACTCAACCATCAAGCCAAATTCCCAGCCCTATTTTGTATTTTATTTAGAGACAGGGTCTCACTGAGTTGCTTAGTGCCTCACCTTTGCTGAGGTTGACTTTGAACTTGCGATCCTCCTGTCTCAGCCTACTGAGCTGCTGGGATTATAGGCGTGCGCCACTGCACCTGGCCAAAAGCCTGTTTCTTGAGCTGAGATATTATATCCATCAGGACTCTCCAGAGAAACAGAACTAGTAGGAAATATATAAATATGATATATAAATATATCCCCTACTATGTATGTATGTATGTATGCATACACACGTAAGCATATATACATAAGTATACATGTGTACACACATATGTACACACAWATACATTATAATTTAAAATATTTTTAACATATAGATATGAAACTTGTTTCAAGGAATTTGTTCACATGACAGTGTGGCTTAACATGTAAAATCTGTAAGGCAAACCAGCAAGCTGGAAACTCTTCGGTAAGGTGAAGTTGCAGTCTTGAAATAGAAACTTTTTCTTCCTCTGGGAAACTTTAGTTTTTGCTTGTAAGACTTTTCAATTGATTGGGTTAGACCCAACAAACATCTTGAAGGCAGTATCTTTTATTTAAAATCGACTAATTGTAGATGTTAACCATAGTAACACCTAAATTAGTGTTTGATTAAATAAGTGGGTACTATAGCCCAGTTTCTGGGCTATAGACATATAAACCATCATGGATATGATCAGTCTTTCCCAAAATATGAGGATGAATCTTGAGATCCTATTGAACTAGATTGGCAACAAAGAGAAAGCCAATAAATATTGCTTACACTAGCTAAAAGTAGATATGAGAAAGGCATAGGTTTTCAACTTATTTAACATAGAGTAATACTAGAGACAGAAGTTAAAGAAGTAGTGAGGAAACAGACATCAACTAGAAAAAACTCACAAAACAATAGTGAATTCTTTGTTTTTCATTTTATGGTTTGTTTTGAGTTTTGATGTGGTGCTTGGGATTGAACTCAAGAGTCTTGCATGCTAAACACATGCTTTACCACTGAGCTACATCCCCAGCATCTATAATAATAATAATATCTATATATATTTATATACTTCTTAAATATATGTAAAATGATTTTTCCCCCGAATGATCTAACCATAGGATTTCCTTCTAATGATGCTTTTGTGGGTAAGATTCCCTAGCCAAATAACCCTTCTTTTTATAAGCATCAGGCACCATTTCTGCCTGTTATTGATTAGCAYGTTCAGATCCCTACCAGTCTATGTTCAAACAAACTAATCACATCCACCTGTAGGAACGAGGGGGCACTCCAACTTCTTAATAGCACAGCCCCTGCTTGTTCACTCTGTTGAGTATAATCTGTGTGACCTGACATGGCATAATTTGTCTTCTTCTCCTAGGTTGTGAATACATGCAGTTTATGAATTCTGGTGTTCRTTATTGTCTTTTTAACCATCTCCACAGTCTTTGAATGGGAATCCCTTCTTCACCAATGTAGTGAAAAGAAAGGGATTTAGACTGTTTCTCCTCCCTTTCCCCATTACTTAGCAGTAATATTGGATTGGGGGATGATTCAAATATTTGTTAATTTATTGGCATAAATGACTTGTAAGTTGCCTTTCAGTGGCAAGATTTAATTGTTTCAGGGTTTCCAATGCTAATATTAGCATTCATATTTTCCAAAAACAGGGCAATTTGCTCATCTGTTTATCATTTGCTTCATTCAGATTGTTTTGTAAACTATTTGTACATCTTGCTTCTCTCAGCTCAAAGCTCCAAAAGACATACTCTATTAATCTTCATACACCCTTTATATATCCTTTACATAGCATAATCCCTGACATACAGAAGATAATCAATATCTATTTGGTGAGTGAAATTAAAAAATCACAGTATATAAGAAAAATGAAACAATGAACTATGAAGTTCCCTGTAAACAGCATTAATATGTAAGCAAATATATAAGTGTGAATTTCCCAACACTGTTGAAATCCAACCTCACTCCATCTTCCTTTACACTCGGRGGAATGACATCTTTAGAGCTGCCCTATTTTTTTCTCATTCCCCTTCCAAAATGAATGCCAGTTGCCCTGAGGCCCTGGGGCTCCTGAGGAACCCTGAAGGCAGCATCTCCCTTTGTGTAGGAAAGAGAATTAGCCTAACAACAAGGTGATCCTAACTCCTTGCCTGAGTTAATTCTGAATGTTCCAATCACTTCAGAATTTCTGCTGAGATCTAAAACACTGCCTCTTCAAGAAATCATTTATTTTAGTCATAGTTTCATTTCTCCAATGTGTAGCTGCATAGCACCCCATCCTAAATTATAGGAAAATGATGAAGAAAACTAAAATGGTTGGATTGAACTTATGTGACATGCCTTTTCTGATTTCTGTTTTTTGAATTAAATTTATGTTTAACGGGCTCATAAAGTTTTACATATTTTGGGATAGTATGTAATGTTTCAATACATATATATGTAAATACATATATATGTATATAAATATATAAAGGATATTACAATGTTTAAATCACGTTAAACATATCTATCTGCTCAACCATTTATCATTTCTTTATTGTGACAACTCTCAAATTTTTTTCTTCCTGCTTTTTGCAATGTACAGTACATTATTCCTACCTATAGTCATCCTACTGCACACCAGAACATCTTGCTCCTATCTATAATTTAGTGCCCATTGATCAACCTTTTCACATTTCCTCCCTCYACCCAACTCTCCTCCATTGCCAATAAGCACCATTCTACTATATTGAAAAGTATTTTATGTCCCACATATGAGTTCTATCATGCAGTACTTGTCTGTGCCTGACTAACTTAACATACTGATCTCCACTTCTATCCATATTGTTGAAGATGATAGGATTTCTTTTTTGTGTGTGGGAGGRGGGCTTAGTGATATTCCATTGTGTATATATATCATATTTTCTTTATATGATTCTTGTTCTATTATTTATTGTATTTTMACTGTCTTATTCATTAAGGTAATTCTTTTGATAAAATAGCATGTGCTTCTTTTTCCTACCCATATGATAGATTTTAAAATAGATTTAAAACTATTTAAAATTAAAAATCTGGATTGACAAAGGAATTTTTCTAATTTATGAATTTTTTATGATTTCTGATTTATGAGCTATTGTATACCTTCCCAATGGTATATAATAAATTGTGTTTATTTATAAGAATAAGATTACATTAAATCAGCTCTGGTGTTTGAAACCAAGATATATAGTTTCCATATCCATATGTTTYTTTGTATTGCACTAGTCATGTGGTTGATGCTCAGTAAATACATATTGATTAAATTATCTAATAATAGAATGTGCTCTCTTTAAGAAACACTTTAATATAATAGGAGTATTTTCTCTGTCTCCTGGGTTTATTTACAGTAAGCAGATCCGAGCTATGCTAGGCCAGTTCAGCCAGGCAGAAGACTTATTAATGAAAGCCGGAGTGCAGCCAGGGACTTTGAATGGAGTTCTTTTGGATCTTGGGTGTTCCTCCATGCAACTTGATGCTCCTGAAAGAGGTTTTTCCCTTCGGAAGGATGGCCCCTTGGACATGAGGATGGATGGTGGCAGGTGAGTATCAATAAAATATTTCTCCTTAAAACAAAAAATCAATTTCACAAAAGCACTCTGAATTTAATTTCCTCTTAAGACTGCAGAATTCCCATCACACACCTACACCAAGTACTACCCAGACATAATAAATCAGTTTTGTTTACTACTCATTATAGATTTTCRTATTTCTCTGGCCTTAGAATTCTAAAAGAAAAATAATTATTGTTCTTAACACAGAATACTGTGGAGGATACTTTTCCTACTGATTGTCTTTTTCACTGAAACCATATTGGGCTTTTAGGTTACCAGTAATACAAATGAATATTAGGATACTGAAATAATGGCTTTATTTTTACATGCCCAACTAAACCTCTTATGAGAAACAAAAAGAACTATCTTTAATACATATTCTTTTATAATACTGAAAAAAAATGGAGGGTTCTATGACTGAACTTGCTTGAGAAAAACTGCAGTTTTTGGTACATCAAACACAGCATTATGCATCAGATATCTTTTGCACTTCCTTTTCATTCTCACYCCTATGGGAACACTAGTGTTTATTCTCCATTTTTCAAATAGGGTACATATATGTTAAATTAACACAAAAAGGGTCACATTCTAGAAGAGTATCTGAATTAATTTTAAGAGCTTAGATTAGCATCTGTGTGAAAAACCGATGCTGGCTCACGGCCTAAGCAACTCACATCTTATTCTACCAAAAACTGGTTTGTCTCATGGTAATTATTCACATATAGCRTTTTTCCCTGTGGAGGAATAAGACTTTTGTTAATTTGGATAGAGACTGATATTTGTTAGAATCCTGTTTTTTCTGAGTCTAATACCTTCTGCTTATGTCGTTGGCCTTCACAGAATGAAGAATGTCATCATGAAAGAAAACAATAAAAATCCTTTAAAAACCAGTGACTAATAGTAAAGGTCAAAATATATTCTCCTATTTGGAKATTGAAATGGTTTTACAAAAATGATAGAATATTAAGCAAATTTCTGCTATTTCTACACCTTGTTAAGGAGAATGCCTTCCAAAATACAAGGAACAAAGTTTCTACTTAATAGTACATTCCTCCTGGGTGTGGTGTTGTACATCTGTAACTCCATAACTCAAGATGCAAGGCAGGAGGATCACAGGTTCAAAGCCATCCTCAACAATTTAGTGAGATCTGTCTCAAAAAAAAAAAAAAAGTAAGAAAGAAAAAGAAAAAAGAAAAAGGCTAGAGATATGGCTCATTGGTTACACCCCTGGGATCAAGCCCTGGTTGCCCTCACCCTCCAAAAAATAGTTCATTCCCATATTGTAAGAGTAAAGACTTTTATTTTTCTTTTCTTTTTTTTTTTTGGTTGTTTAAAACATTACAAAGCTCTTGACATATCATATTTCATACATTAGATTCAAGAGAGTTATGAACTCCCATTTTTACCCCAAATACAGATTGCAGAATCACAACGGTTACACATCCACGTTTTTACATAATGCCCTATTAGTAACTGTTGTATACTGCTACCTTTCCTATCCTCTACGATCCCCCCTCCCCTCCCCTCCCATCTTCTCTCTCTACCCCATCTTCTGTAAATCATTTCTCTCCTTGTTTATTTTCCCATTCCCCTCACAGCCTCTTACGTGTAATTTTGTATATCAATGAAGGTCTCCCTCCATTTCCATGCAATTTCCCTTTTCTCTCCCTTTCCCTCCCACCTCATGTCTCTGTTTAATGTTAATCTTTTCTTCCTGCTCTTCCTCCCTGCTCTGTTCTTAGTTGCTCTCATTATATCAAAGAAGACATTTGGTATTTGTTTTTT